AAGAGGATGCCCACAGGATTCACCTGGTTTGTGGAATATTATCTATGACAGTCTTCTCCACATTAACAATACAAGAAAAAAATTGTGATTGGAAATTACAGGGTTTTGCAGACAACACCCTTGTCATGATTTCTCACAAAAATAATGTTCTCCAAATAGAGGCAAACTGTTGGGAAAAATCAACAACTGGTGTGAATTAAATAAACTAAACATTAATTACGGAAAATGCCAAAATATTGTTATGTCAAAAGGACACCAGTTAAAAAAGGCATTCGGGATAGTTATTAACAACAATAGAATTAAAAATACAAAGAATTTCAAATACTTGGAAACTATATTTGATCAAGGGCTCATGTGGACCACACACTTAAATCAAACTTCTGACAGGGCAATTAAACTCTCCAATGCCCTTCATTTATCTAACAAAGGATTGGGGATTGAATGATAGGAATATCAAGATTATTTACAGCAGGGGTCGCCAAACTTTTTTAACCGTTGACCCCAACCACTTTCCAAAGCCTCACATTGACCCTTACCGTAAAGTTTTATTACAAGTGTATGTGTATGAGCGAAGAAAAAAGAACGTTGTGGTCTCTGTATAAGCAAAAAAAAAAAAAAGGTTGTGACCCCCTAGCCGCATCGACCCCTCAATCGACCCCTCAATCGACCCCTAGCCGCATCGACCCCCCAATGATGTTGCATCGACCACTTTGGCGACCCCTGATTTACAGAGTCTGTATAGAAACAACAATCCTTTATGGAGCACCATTCTGGGAAACCTGCACAGATACAATTAGGAATCAAAAGAAACTGAGTAAAATTCAATTCATTACTCTCCTTTTGCTTTGCAAAGCATATCGAATGGCTCCTACTGCAGCTCTACAGGTAATTGCAGGTGTGCTTCCCCTACATATTAGGGCCAAAGAAGTGATGTGGTACTCCCAGAGAATTTTAATAAACTTTTCTTTTGGTTTCTCCCTGGCTGGCCATGTGGAGTTTTTCCGGGTTTCCTCCACCTTCTTTCCCCCCAAATGGCGGTCAGCTCCCCCTTTAAATTTACAGACCTCCCGGAAGGCTGTAGCATATACCAGCAGTGGTATTGCACTCCCTTAAAAATCACTATTCCAAATTTGCTGGAAGTCTTTATTGCTGGATTACTCACTGTGGCTTCTCTTCTTACCCACTTTGAGAAATCCAAAAAACTGGTTAGGTCAGGTGGGTTGGGGACACAAACTGCAACTATCCTATCTACCTTTCCCTTCCTCCTGATCAATAAAAATGTTTGGTAAGTTAAATAAGCATTACATAAAATATACCACACACAATAAAAGCTGAGACATAACAAATAAATGTAAATTTATGAGCCCTCACAAGGGACTAGTAATTATGAGCCCTACTTGGGTGCCTATGAGCCCATTTAGGGACACCCAACCAATGCAAAACACTCTTTAATAAACAACCTTCTTCGCCTCTGTGCTCTGAGTGGTAAGGGGTCTAAAACCACAAAAAAAAAAAAGTGATCTGGAATTGGTACCTAGGAAAAAATGGAATCACATATCAGAATGATGATGAAATTGTTAACTTTATTTGCATTGGTCTTCTTCCTAACATGAGTATATCCCTCATTAACAGGCTAGTCACATTGCCTCATGAAATCTTTAACATTCATCCAGCAAAATACTCATCTATTGCTATTAAATCTCTGGAAGATAGTCTCAACTACAGGTAACCCCCGTATAACACGGTAGTTACGTTCCAAAAAATTGCCGTTTTATGTGAATCCATGTTATACAAAACAAAGAACTAATACGAAAAGGAGGATTAGGTTCCAAAAATTAAAAAACATGCTAGTATATTTTCATAATTAAGATAAATATCTTCATTAAAATTTTTTTAAGTGATACATATTAATATAAATTAAACAATGTTTTCTTCGTCATCACTAAAAACACTATTAATTAACCGAGAGCGTTTTCTTTTTGGCAAGTTATCCTTATCCTCTGAGCATTTTTCTGCATTATCTTCAGATCCATGCTTTACCTTTTGCAAAATGTATGTAATTTTAGATTGCTTGCTTCTAGTTAAAAGGTCTTTATAAATTTCCTTATATGGTGCTAAGCACTTATGAAGAATAAAGCAAGTATGGAATAAGGGAAAAACATTCGGCAACATCAGAAGCAGAAGCGTCGCGATCTGGCAACATTGAAACAAGTTTCGAGAAGGACCACGTGTATCGACAGAAGGCGAGAAGAGAAAATTTACATACTTAAGTACTAATAGTTCATGAAAATAATAATTTTTGTGAACTACTATTACTTAAGTATGTAAAAATTTATTACATTTCCTGTTGTACGAGGGTTTTACCCAATTCTTGAACCGTGTCAGAGTGAATCCGTGCTATAAAAGTACCGTGTTATACGGGGTTACCTGTACTTACATGATTTTCACAGATGGCTCAAAACAAAATGATAAGGTAGGAGCAGCATATGTTATAATGAAAAGTAAGTCAACAACTCTGATCTATACTGCTGGATACAGACTAGAAAGCTTCTGTACAGTCCCTCAAGCAGATCTGTATGCCATTTGTAAAGCTGTTAATCATCTTAGAAACATGGGGATTGAGAACCAAATACTAAGGATTTGCAGTGTTAGCCAAACCATCATCCAAAAGCTCAGAAATTCAACATGTTACTTTTCTCATATGGTGTTTCATAAAATCCAAAACAACAGTAATTCAATCATGTTAACCTGGGTTAAAGGGCATGCAGGCTTAGCGGGCAATGAGGCAGCTGATAAACAACTTTGAGAAATCTACTACAACTTTGAGAAATTCATGCTACTGCTATCAGCCTTTGTCAGAGGGAATGGGAGAATGGTAACATTGGAAGGATAACATTTTCCTTCATCCTCAATGTAGAGACAAGACTTAAACTGAAGCATCTTTCCATCATATATATAAATACACAAATTTTTACTAGACATGGCAACCTTGAGGCCTATCTTCACTGGTTTGGTCACAGAGACACTCCCTTATGTGGCTTTAACAACACCTCAATACAAGATGTTCATCCAGTGCCAGCCCGAGGCAAGTTTTAGGATGGAGCAAGATCCTATTATGGCGCCTAGGGGTGGAACCCTGCCGATGCACTCGACCCATGCGCATCTCAACAGATAAGTTCATTCACATACTGGCCACATGCTTGCAATTAAAATATCGAAAAGTGAAAAAAATATTTTTTTCTTTGATTTTCTTTACCACTGAAGTGCCCCCTAAGACTTAGTGCCTGGAGTGGCTGCTCCGTTCGCCCTATGGTAGGTATGGTTAGGCCCTATAGCGGCTCTGTGTTCATCATTATATATTTGCAATATAATTGGATTGCTGTATATTAGATTTCAATGCAAAAATGTCTTTGTAATCCAAAAAATTATGGTAGACTGTCTCACAGCAATTTTCAGTTAGAATTATGAATAAGTGATTGTTATAATATTTTCTGATGGTATATTTGTTGCTGTGTTTTAAATTTTTTTGGTTTTTATATATTTTATTTATTTTTTATTGTTTTCAAAACAGCACTGAGGAAAGGTTGGATTATATTATACAATCTGAAATGCATATTTAAAAATGTTCAATTTGAGAATAAAATCATAATTCTAACCGAAAATTGCTGAGAGACAGTCTACCATAATTTTTTGGATTACAAAGACATTTTTGCATTGAAATTATATATTTGATTGTGATAACCTCACACAAACAAGAAACACTTCTAAGGACTGCACTTTCCCAAGGACTCAACTGGCCATGCAAAATGGACAACTTTGTCATGGATCAAAAACTTTTTAAAAGTTTTATGGATTTCCTTGCTTCAACTGGAGTGTTGGAATCTGACTATCGATTATCACAACAGTGAGTGCATTTGTGTAGTGTAAATCTTACTTCAACAATTGATCATAAATGTATATAATGTACAGTACATACATTCTATGTCATTCCCACAAAGTGTAGTGTGTTTGTGTTTGGTACATTTTTGATGTTACTATTGTATTGTTTGTTATTTTATTTCTGTATTCTTTATATTTTTACTTCTATTTAATAAATCTGGCAAAGACACCTGTGCCTCCCTTTTTCCACCCCTATCCTATTTTCTGTATTTTCACCTTCACCTTCTGCCTTCTTTTCTTTATTTTCAAGCCAGGTAATACCACTGAGTGCACCTGTCTTCTGCCCCTGTCAGCTACAAGTGTACAAGTATGATTGTTATATTACAGTAGACTCTGCTTATTATCAATCATCCATTCTATTCATAATCAGTTAATTTGGGAAAATAAAATGATCTAAATTATATAAAATTTAAATAATTTAATTATAAATAGATCTATAAATGAATTGATTTCAAATGTTTTATTGACAAGTCTTCTTGGATCACCTTATATCTATTTCTACCATTTTGTATTATTTGAATGTGTCATATGATGTCAATTGATGATACTTTTTCTAAGGTGCTTTTAGTCTACAAGGTGGGAAAGAAAGTCACTTAACACCCCTTCTACAGAATATAGAATGTAACCAAAGTTAATTCACTCATGTCATGAACACATTAGACCAAGGTGGAAACAGACTAATGTGTATTATGTGCACGGCCGACCTCTTGATGGCAGCCATTATGAATGCACCTCCAAAACTATAAATGGGAAGGGATCTTGTGACACATTATTTAGGGTCATAATTTCATAAGGAATTGATTGCTGAAAGATTTTATTGACCTACCTCAAACAGTTACAGAATTATGCACATTGCATGATGGACTCAATGTACAATCGTTGGGTTCATTCTATATTTTGTAGCAGGGGTGTTAAGTGACTTTTCCCACCCTGTAGATTCTCATATGAATGTATTAGTGGTAAGCTGTTATTTATTTATTTTAATTGATTTTATAGTGTGTATTTTTTATAATTCCTTTTTGTTAACATAAATAATTTATACATTTTTTTTACTTATCTAGGAATCTGTAATAAAGTTGAAAGTACCTCTAGTAAAGAAAAGTGTAATTGAAAATGGAATGCTTAATTTGAATTTTGATAGGTACTTTAAAAACTTTTTATATATTATTATTATTTTGTTTACAGTTCAATAAAAATCTTCTAAAATAAAATTAAAATGTTTTAATTTGTGTTTCTTTTTAATCATAATTATTGAATTAATAAGATTGTCTTGCAATATTATAATAGTTGATTCATAAGTTTTCCCTTTATATAAAATTAGTTTGGGAAGAGGTAGAATAATTTGAATAGTTTTAAAAAGTAGTAAAAATAATTTATTTTAATCACACATATCCATTTTTTCACATTATCAACAACTAAAGTGACACAATTTTTTAATTATTCAATCCCATTCTTGCATTCTATGGAAAATCTTTCTGGTTTTTGTGTTTGATCTATTCTTTTACAGTTAACATACATCAGCTTAAACTTCAATTTCTGATGTAAAGTTTCTTGACCCTTAAAGTTGAGTAAAGCTTCTTAACCTAGCATTTACTTTTAACATTCTTAATTTTTGGAACAACCAGAAGTCTAATGGTGCTAGATCTGGACTGTATTCTATATCTTTTTGTTAAATTAGATGCTTTAATTTCTTTACTGTTTCCTTACTATTGTGAATAGGTACAACATTGCCCTAGGTCAGGATATGACATCACCTGTGAGTTTACATCCATAGAAAACTTTTTTAACATGCACGCAAGCAGTCACATATGGAGAACTTTGGGAAAGCAAATGGAGGAGGAGATTGAGAAACAGGGAACCCAGAAGTGATTCACTCTACTACTGATTTAACAATAAAACAATAAAGATTTATTTGAACATAAGAGATTATCAATGTACTGTACACTTCAAAACTAGGGCAGAAATTACATCTAGCAGAGAACTATTGATAAATGCTATACAATCAATATTTTATATAGTCTATCAAAGAATATTACAATATAAATCATTTATATTCCAACATGCCTTAGTAATTTGCTAACAGAGAGAGTTTATAATCAGTTTGTGTGAGGATAGTTACCTCCAAACCATGTTCCTTGAGAGTTCCTTCCTTTCTTGGATAGATAGTTTTGACAAATATGATAATGAATATTGATGAAGATAAAAGTTCTTTGAGTTGGTAGAAGAGGAGGAGGTCTTTCTTGTGAAAGGAATATCAAAGTTTGGATGAGGATGTGGAAGGGCAAAATTTCACTTTCTTCAGAACTTCTCCTAAGAACAGGAGCTGTCTAACACAAGTGTAACTGGAATTAATAGATGACGGGACAGCAGGCAAACTCTCTGACCTTCCTTCATCTTCCCCTTTTAAATTATCCTTTTTCCCATGTATCTGGACATCCCCAAATTTGCTTAAAATTAAATAGTGAGTAAGATTATTATCCAGTCCCAGATTTTTCTTGTCAAACTTCTTTAAGTGAGCTGAACACATGATGTGTCATTTCAAAAGGAAGCATTATCAAGAGATAAAATTTCATGAACTCCTTTATTGACTTCCAAGATTTTTAACTTTGTTGAACTTTATAAATTTTGAGATTTGAATTAAATTAAAAACACTAGCTCAGGAGCTCTCACTATAGTGTAGTCATCATCATGAAAAGGATTGTTTTTTCTAACCTTATATCTTATTCACGCCATAAACTTTAAGTAGGATTAATATTTAAGCAAGATTAAATTAAAGTCACATTATTAAAAACAAGATTAAATTTTTGTTGACTCTATGAAATTTGGTCCACTTAGAATAATGACATAATGTAAGTAATATTTATTTGCAGAAATATTCACAAATTAATACAAGAAATTAATTATTGGGAACAGATGAAATTTGAAATTCCTCAATTTCTAAATGATATTAATGTAAGGAAAAATGATATTTTAAAAATTCGAGAAAATGTTATGGTTGTTATTCGAGAATATAATGGGTAAGTGTTTTGTTTTGATAACTTACATATATTTTTTTAATTTGTTTATCTTATAATGTAATTTCTTTTGAATTACATCAGAAAATGAATATTCTAGACAAAAATATATGTATTTCAATATATTTACATTTTATCAGTCTAAATAACAACTTTATATATAAATAAATATTAGTATTATTCTTACGGATGATGATGATACAAATACATATAGTCAGTGGTGATATTCAGCGGGTTTGCACAGGTTTGGCCGAACCCGTTCTTAACATTTTCAAAGTTTTCCGAACCCATTGTTAAACACATGTAACATTTCTCAGTGGTTTTGTTTCTTTTAAAAAATATATTAAAATATACGTATTACACTCTGTAACACTACTAAACTAGAGCCTTATACCCCGTTCGCCTTGGTGCAACCTCCATCGACCGTTTCAATCTCGACTGAAACCAGGTTCAATCGCGATCGACTCAAGAGAGTTCTTGAAACTAGGTCCAGTCATACGAGAGGTCCCACAATCCCACGCGTGCGAGAAAATACAAGATGGCTGCGGAACACGTGTCGGGCTATCGACAGCTAAATAAAAAAAATATTGTATTTCGAGAGATGATGACATCTGTCTATTATTATAATAATACCTAATGATAAAATAAATGATTTAGAAAAGTTTTTTCTTGAGAAAAAGTCATAGGGAAAGCAGTTAACTCCTTGGGACTCTAGCAATTTTTGATATTAATGTAATTAAACATAAAAAATACTTAAAACTGAAAAAACGAAAGAAATGCGTTAATTCTGAAGAAAAAGCTTCAGATTTTATTTTCCTTTGTCTTGTCTTTCTGTGAAATCTGACGCTGATGAGTCATTGTTTAAACAGCTGGATGACCTTGAACACAGCTGGAGTTGGATTTCCCGGGACATTCTCATAGAAGTCTCGGGAGGCGATGGGTTTATAGTAGGGTGAATACTAGCTGGCCGTATATTTTTAAAAAATTAAAATTTTTATTGCGATTTCCGACCCCCCGACTTAATTAAACTTATATATAATAAAATCTATTAATTAAAAAAATTTAAAAACTATCGGAGGTCGTTTTTGACATCAGAAACTAGCTTTAAATAACTTTACCGAAGGAAAATCCGTGCACTACAACTTTAGAACGATGAATGAAATTTGATATCAAACTCCCATTAAAAAACAATTAAAAAGCAATTAAGCGTGAATCGTGCGTCATTAAAGGTAAATTAAAATCGCGATAAAATTTTTTCGCGCGGGAAAAAATTTTTGAAAAAATTTGGAGACTTAAAAAACATTCCAAAAATCCAAAAAAAAAAAAAAATTGTAGTGGGTCCAAACGCCTGAGTTTTATGTAACGCTATGTAACTTGCCCGAGATATCTCGGGCTTGGGGTTAGGTTAAGGAAAAAGTTTCTGTTAGCGAACCCTTTGTTAAATATTTCGAATATCACCACTGCATATAGTATATATCATATATATATATATATATATATATATTTGATAATACATTTGTATTTGTATCCAGAGGTTTTTGTAAAACAAACTCAAAATAAGCTCAGTTATTTTTAAAACATATCAATCTCTCAGTGTTTATTTGAAGAGCTGTGGTTTTTTTCAAGGCCAGAGTTTATCATCTTGCAACAGGAGACAAATGGGTAAAAATTGAAAGAAATACTTTAATCTGTATATATAAAATTACATGTCCTGACTGACTGACTGATTCATCATTGCCCAGAGCAAACCGCTGAACCTAAAGAGGTGAAATTTGGTACACAGTTAGGGTATGCACACTAAGAAGGGATTTTTGGAAATTCCCCTGCAGGGGAGAGTGAGAGGATTAAGGCTTAACCTGAAAAATGATGGCTTCTACTATACTATTTTAGCTGTGATTTTTTTTTTTTTTTTTGTTTTTGATAGTAATAACTTAATTTTCAAATGCACAATATTTAACAAATCATCCAAATCTTTTGCCTGAGCAATGCCTGGTTCATTTGCTAGTTACAGTAGAGTGTCGATTTTCCGAAAGTCAATCATCCGAAAGAATTCCAGTCGGCAAATTTAAATTTTCGCCAGTGCTGTGGCGCTGCAATCTTTGGCTATGTCTTGGGCTACTCAAATATTTTACGTTTTTGATACTAAATTAACTTCTGAAGTATAATGTTTTATTGTTTTTATATTTTTCAATATATTTATTTTGTTTGTACAAAATAAAAAAATAATTTTTAATGATACAATAGTCTTTGTTAGGCTTAACATCGACGAAAATTCAATGCAAAACGACACACAACGGAGAAAAATTTCAACATCGGATACATTAAACTATTTTTTCGTACGTAAATCAGTTATCCGAAATATTAGTTATCCGGACAACCCCAGTTCCCAATTGATTCGGGAAATTGACGCTCTATTGTACTTGTATATTTTTTAAGCTATCAAAATTATTTATTTACTATCTTTATGGGTTACAGTTACAACATTTGAAATAATTATTGTTTTCATAGTTACCTTAATACAGCAGCTTTTAATTTAATTATTACATATTACATTACATTATGATTAATATTTAAGCAAGATTAAATTAAAGTCACATTATTAAAAACAAGGTCTGAAGAAATGTTCTAATTTTTTTATTATAGGAAAACATTAATGTAATACTATTTAAGATATAATTGTCAATTTTAAANTATTGTTTTCATAGTTACCTTAATACAGCAGCTTTTAATTTAATTATTACATATTACATTACATTATTATATACAATGTAATAATTAAATTAAAAGCTGCTAATACAGCAGCTTTTAATTTAATTATTACAGGTAACTATTAAATTAAAAGCTGCTGTAAATAAGCTGCTGTATCATTCATGTCTGCTTCAATGTCATTTTAGGAATCAAGATCTTGGCTATCATCATGTGGTCCAAATTCACCATCTCTTTTGGAAAGAGATAATGAGTTTGAATTAGAGTTTTCCTAATTATTTTTCAGCTGATAAGCTCTTTTATCTTATAAACTTTATTAACTTGATTTTGACTTTTCCTTGCTCGATATTCAGAAATATTTATAATTTTATTTCAAAAAATATTTCCATAAACCTTTGAATAGTAAGTGCTGTCTGACTTTAGACAATTTTAAGAGGTAGAATTTTATTTAAACTCTCTATCTGTCACTATAAACCCACCATACTCAACCTTTTTTTCTCTTGGGCCACATACACATGATAGCTATTACACATGGGCTGCGACATAACAATTATAATAAAAAATTTACTTAATTTCTTACTTTCCCTAGAAATTTAGTGTGACTGTTGATATTGCGAACATTTTTTCACCATTTCATTTAAATCACTTTTTAATACTTTTTCTGCCCGGTGCGCACTAAGAGGGCCTTTTATAGCTGGACCGCAATGTTGCAACCAGGTGGTGAAGGACGGCCCCGACATATCTGAACGGATCACTCTCCGAAAAATTCCTGGGGGATTCACTGACCCGACCAGATTTGATCCTGGGTCCCCCAGAGCGGTAGGCTGCCACCTTGACCGCTCGGCCATCTGGCCATCGATTCATTTAAATCAGGCTTTGTAACTGCTGCATGCTACTCGTAAAACCGCTCTAGCTATGAATCAGTAAGACAGTTTCTATATATATTTTTTGAATATTTCAGTTTTGAGTATGACGTTTCACATAGATATGTTGATGCAAACAACATAAATAAAATTTGAGTACATTTTTTTACAGTCTTATATTGATTGGGCACTACTTTCCAGAAGTGGTAATTATTTCCAGATGTCAACGTAATTATTTCTGCTCTCTTTCATGTCCGGGCTACTCACAAAAGCTCAATGGGCCACAGGTTGAATATGGTGGCTCTAAACTATATTAGCTATACAGTACAGTCTGTCAAAATATATTACATGTTTCAACCTGGGATTTATTTATTTTTAAAAGCATGTTTATTCTCTGGAGTTTATTTAAAGATAGATTTTTTGAATCCTGGATTTAATTGAAGAACCATAGATACACCAACAACACACAAAAAAAATAAGGTTTTTGATAGCTTTGTCTTGATCTCAGCCCATGATATTAGGCATTACTATCAACTGAGTTGGACTCTTTCTCTCACGGTAATAACAATAATTAAATTTATTATTATATATTTTCTTAATAAGTGTAAAAAATATAAAATATATAGTAGGATATATATTTACAGAATGTATGATGATAAGTTTAATTATTAAAAACAAGGTCTGAAGAAATGTTCTAATTTTTTTATTATAGGAAAACATTAATGTAATACTATTTAAGATATAATTGTCAATTTTAAATGTTTTATATAATGCGATGATGTTATTTATAGCACTCACTAGCACTGGCAGTCCTCTTTTATCCATTGGGCTAAATGGGATACAGCTCAGGCATTATTGATCCAACATTACAACAAATACAGGTATCCCTCATATAATATGATATTTTTACAATACAGTTTCATTCTAACACTGTTTGAAATTGGGGATATCCCTGTACAACATGATTTCCAGTTTTGCTCTAACATAGTTTTGGAAAGGCACTGTGTAAGATTTCACAAATTTTAAGTGCAAACTACATTATTATTATTATTATTCAAGTACTGTGTTTCCCCGAAAATAAGACATCCTTTGAAAATAAGACCTAGCAGATGTTTTGCTGAATTGCTAAATATAAAGCCTCCCCCGAAAGTAAGACCTAGCAAAGTTTTTTTTTTTACTAACGGTCATCGACAGATGGTTGAAAGTGGCCGTTGGCTTTTTGAAAGTACAACCACTGATTGGTCAGCAGACAATCACATCACATGGCATGATTTGCATAAGACTATGGCTTGGGAATCACAGATTTGCATAACGTTATGGCTGGTGATTGCTAATTGGTCGGCTGGGAATCATGCCACATCACATTTTGCATAGTGTTACGGTTCAGTAAGCACTAATTGGTCATCGAGCCTGAATTCGACGCTATAAAAAGGTTAAGTTGAAGCAAGAATGGAAAGTTCACTCCAGCATGGGAACTTCGTAAGTTCACTTCGGTTCTATTTAAGTTCAGTTCGACACCACCGGATATACATCACTCTCATCTAAGTTTGACTTGGGAATTTTTTTTGTTCAATAATAAATGTGAATTCTTCTTCATGAAAAAATAAGACATCCCTTGAAAATAAGACCTAGCGCACCTTTCAGAGCAAAAATTAATATAAGACTCTGTCTTATTTTCGGGGAAACACAGTAAGCATGTGTGTTGTCTCAAATTTGCCTACAGATTTTAGAATATTGAAATTTTAAAATTATTTTGTGCTTTTCATTAGGTTTACTTTAATGAAAATTAATAGTGCAATTTTTTTTTCCTTTTTTGTCCTAACTTTCTTATTAACCGGGTGTCATTGTTGCTGCTTTCAGACTTTAGCCCCTAAGAGTATCATTGTTTTTTCTTTTTATAGATTAATCTTTGTATTTAGTAAAGTTTATTTAAACATTTTTAGTTAAGTGTTATTAAGCTTTTATATTTAACTGTAGGTAAGCAACTATTTGTAAAATGATGAACAAAATACATTGTTACCTCAATACTCGAACAATTCAGCATTTGAATGGAAATTCTGGAAAAAATTACTTGATACTCAACTGAACAAATGTGATCTACTAGAACAAATTTTTGTTAATAACATATTTTTATTTTGCCATTCATAAAAAGTTTTTCATGATAAAAATAAAAAATATGAAAATGTTGTGATTACTTCTGATCAAGATTGACAAAAAGTGGCGATGATGATGATACTTCATAAAAAGAAAACATTACATTTGAAAACTTTGTAAAAAGTGCATTAATATTAATTTTAGTTAAACAACAGAAAAATGCCCTTGTTTAACCAAAATTAATATCACATAATACAGTACTTTTAATTGCAATTGCTAATTAATTATTGATTGGAAATAAATTATCGATTGCTTTAATAAGCATATTTCTCTTAATAATGAAAAAGAATAGTATACTTTGCTAACTTCTAGAGCCTACCCCTGTGTTTTACATTAGTTCATTTTTTTGTACAGCATGGATTCGCATAACATGGCACTTTTTCGGAATATATCTACCGCGTTATATGAAGGATATTTGTATTTTGTATGTTGTTATTTCAAATTATTTCACAATTTCACTTTTATTTCTGAATTACTTTAATAAAATTTTATCATTATCACAAGCTAATTATCAATTAATATTTACTCTAAATATATTCTTCTATGTACTTATTATTATTAAACTTAGGTTAGATGAATTTTTGATATGACATACTTACTGATTTAATGTAATATATGAAATTAATTTATTATATTTAATAGAATCATATAATTCTAATCATTAATATTTTAATTAAGAGAAGTTATTTTATGAGTAATTATGTTAATCATCTAAGAATTTCCATGTATATTTTAGAATTTTGCTGATGCTTTCTCCTGAAGGAAAAGGACTATTTTCTCAAAAAATAAAATTTCTTGATAGAAAACTTAATCCTGGTATTACTCGTTTAACATGGTTAACAACAGACGTTCTAAATTACTTTGTAACTGATTGTAAAGATAACTGTTCAAATGTATGATTTTTCAATTATTTATTTAATTTATAATAAGTGCATTTTTAAAACATTTTATTAACTGTATATTTAAGTTATAATAATTGTTAAATGTGGAATTGAATGAATTTTTTATTAGTTTGTATATATGTAGATCATTCAAAAAGTTTTGAAACTGATGATAATAGAGACAATATAATGATCACACACAAAAATCACATTATTTCCTTTAACATATTCTCTCTCCAACTCAATACACTTATCCTATCTTAAAACCCAGATTTTGTAATTCTCATGTTTTTCAACAAACTGTTTAATTTACCTGTTACAGTGTTGTTCAACTCCTCAACACTAGAATTTTAGCTTTTACAGCTGTTTTTTTTTTTTTTTTTTTTTCACTTTCAGAAAGAGGAAAAATTGCAAGATGCAAGATTTGAAAAGTAAGAAGAATGGACCATTAACAATTATATGCTGAACAATCACAGAATATTGTTATTATGATTGAAGAATCTGACTGTTTGTGCTTACTCAGGATGCTGTTTTATGATTTTCCTCTTTATTTGATTCTTCAGATCTCCAAATAATTCTTTCCAGTAAGAGTTTTATCTCTCAAAACACAATGGCCATAGATAGCCATTTTTCTAAAAAAATGGCTTTATCTAGAGCCATTTTGCCTGCACTTGGTTACAGTTTTGTCTGTTTTGGTCAGAGGTTACTGGAATGCTTGTACAGAGCATTCCATTTTCATTGTTAGATAAAAAAAAAAAGTGAAACCACTACTCTTCTCATGTCAATTTGCAGTCATGTCTTCCAGTGTTGGCACAACCCCACATGATCTTCAAGTGCCTTCTATCTATCCTGAAATTTCTTATGTCACTCAAACATCTATACCCATGATAAAGCATGTTCCTTAAATGCTTCTAGAATCATGTTGAAAATTTCCATTGAGGATTTGTCCAATCAATTTAAATTGTGTGTTTAATTTAATTGATATGTCATGAATATGAATATACACTTAGTAATTGGTTTTTACAAGTCTAGACTAGTTTCAAAACTATTTGAATAACCTTCATACTTCATATATGTATACAGTAAGACCCTGCTTAATGCGGGGGATGCATTTCTAGACAACAAAGCGCTAAACAAAACAGCGTTAAACGAGGTAATTTTAACATAGAGTAAATAGGAATAGCGAACACGCGATTGAATTTAAGTTATTTTTATATTAATTTGTATAATAATATATATTAAATAAAACATAAACATATGCACACAGAAATGTAAAGTTCATTTTTTGTGATGAAGGTCCTGACTTTTCTGAAATTCTTGTTCTTTTGCAATAAAGTCGTGAAGTTTCATTTGTCGCTTTTTTGTTTTCTTAAGCAAATGTTGATAGCAGAAGATCGCATTAAAATGCCTCGTTTTGCTTTTGCACTCCTTTCAAAATCTTTATCGTTCACTACAATTTGATCAATGATTTCAGTTATCATTACCAAACTTTTACTAAGGGAATTTGTAGAGAAATTTTTTGGGTTCTTCGTTTTCAGAATCTATTTTCCAGTTCCACAGGAATTCCTTGTTCTGCCAGTTTTCAAAAGTCATCATTGATAAGGCTCTCACCAGAAACCTGTGGTAACTCTTTAATATTTTGTTTGTCTACATCTCCTAGTCCTGCTATATCGATTAGGTTGAGTTTGGTCAACATAATGATACAGTGCTAGGCTCTTCTCATTGAGAATTCTTGGATACTTTCAGCTGTAACTTCTTCCACACTTTGGTTGTGCATTTATCAGTTAATTCTTGCCAAGTGAAGTTGATATTTCCTATGGCATCCACAATGTTTATTTTTTCCAAAATTGCACCAAACTAACATAGATTTAAAGAAAGTACATCTTTTTTGCCACATTTTTCTGATTGGTTCATGTTTGTAAATAATCATATTATATACAAATTGATAAAAAGCCACAATAATTTAAATCAGTTTAAATTTTGAGTTCTTTTTTAGGCTTTGAGCAGATGGTGTTATATTGAATCAGCGTTAAGTGAGGCTGCATTAAGTGGGGTCTTACTGTATATATATATTAATATAATATATTTATATATTATATTAATATATTATATATTAATATATTTATAATATTATTTTAAGAAATACAAAATAAATCTTTGAATTAAAAAAAATTAAAAATAATACTAAACTGGAAACCAAGTAAGACTAAGCATAACNTGAAATATCATTTATAAAACAAAACATAAATAATTATATTGTTCAAAGCATAAATAAATTCATTTTAAGATTTTAGCAAAAACTAAAAAGGTTTCATTAGTTTGCTCACCTCTAGTATTAGTTGAATGAAACTTTAAAATCTGTGAAAGAGATTTTTTTTTTTAAATTATAATTTAACAAAAAGTCTATAGAATAAAATTATATATAATAAAAAAAATTGAATTCTAATTCAAAGAGTATTCTTTTATTTCCATAAAAAATACAGAAAGAAAATATTGCTGTAAATATTCTTCTGACAAGATACAAAACTATAAAAAAAAAAGAATTACATTGAATATCAAATTTTGCAACAATGTTTTAAATTTCATACAATTAATATGAAATGATTTTTAAGACTAATGATTCACTGGCTCTGTAAAAATCAGTTTGTTGATTAATGAAAAGCTAAGCATTGTTCATGAGTTCTATTATCAAAATAATTTTTAAGTTGAATTTGACTCTTTTGAAACAAAGTAATATTATGCAGTCTAGATTTTTAATGAGAGATTGAACTGCAGATCCAACCTTATTTTTTAGGAATGGCAAATACACAAAGACTATCCTATGTGGATTTTTGCCAGTCTATGAAAAAATGTATCAAGCTATGACAGACTTATTGGGATACAAAGATTAAGCCTGGAAATCAAGCCATTGCAGGGTTGGTTGGCAACAGGAAGTCATCCTACACAACTGCATACAGGACATACAGTAGCTGTCTCATTCACAGCTCTTTTGTTGGATGACGACATGGCTATGTTCAGCCATATTATGCAGTTATGTTTTATCCATTAAACATATTTTAGTTCAAATTTTAATTTTATTCATACACAACATTTTAATTTTTCTTGTTTTACACTTTTACACATTTAGATATTATTGAATATGGTTTTAATTGAAACATTTTTTTATTTTTATCTGCACTGGTATTTTAAATAACTCATAATTTTAAAGTCTAGTATAATTTTAACATAACTGTTTCATAGTCTTTACTGACTATGTACACTAGTGATTTTATCAATATATACTATTCTTTCTTTATGCCCTTCTTTTATGTAATTATATATTTTTTAGATTTTACCAGTTTGAATTCTATATTATATTTTTAAATATATTGTAACTGCCATATATAAATATATATATCAGTGATTTTAATTATACATATATAATTATTTTAAATTTATTGATTGCTTGATGCAGTTTGACCTAAGAGGTTCTTATGCTATTAAACTGTAGAATCCATATGATTGTTTTTTAATTTTAAGATTTGCCTGCTCCATGATTTTTCATGGCATATTCCAATACTCCTGCTGCAGTTTCTGGTTGTTGTAATTTGTTGTTTATGCTAATTAAAGCTTCTAAAACTTCTGTTTTAGAAGCTTGAAATTCTCACCATGAAATTCATCTTCTTTATAATGTAATGCTTTTGCATAAGAACAACGCTTCATTGCTCTCTTTCTATCTTAATAATGTACAGGGTTCCTACGCACCTGGAAAGTCAGGGAAAGTCAGGGATTTTCATTAGTTTTGGAAAAAGTCAGGGAAAGTCAGGAAATTTGTCGAAAATTGTCAAAAAGTCAGGGAATTTGTCTCCTTAACTGCGTTGTTGATTTGGTTTGCTGAATATAGATGACCAATCATAGCCATACGCAGGCGGCAAGAAGTAATGCTGCAATCTTTAAAACCCGAGATAACTCGGGAAAGTTCCATAGCGTTATATAAAACTCGGGCATTTGGGCCCTCCGAAAAAATTTTTGTTTTTTTTGGATGTTTTTTAAGTCTCCAAATTTTTTCAAAAATTTTTTCCCGCGCGAAAATATTTTATCGCGATTTTAATATACCTTTAATGACGCACGATTAACTCTTAATTGTTTTTTAATGGGAGTTTTTTTTATCAAATTTCATTCATCGTTCTAAAGTAGTAGTGCACGGATTTTACTTCGATAAAGTTATTTAAAGCTAGTTTCTGATGTCAAAAACGACCTCCAATAGTTTTTTAATTTTTTTAAATTAATATATTTTATTATATATACGTTTAATTAAGTCGGGGGGTCGGAAATCGCAATAAAAAAACGTAATTTTTGAAAAATATTTAAAAATATACGGCCAGCTAGTATTCACTCTACTTTAAACCCTTCTCCTCCCGAGACTTCTATGAGAATGTCCCGGGAAATCCCAACACCAGCTGTTCTCCAGGTCATCCAGCTGTAAACACAATGACTCATCGGTGTCAGATTTCACAGAAAGGCGAGACAATGGAAAATAAAGTTTGAAGCTTTTTCTTCAAAATTAACGCATTTCTTTCGTTTTTTTCCCAGTTTTAAATATTTTTTATGTTTAATTACATTAATATTAAAAATTAGTGGGTAGCAAGGGAGTTAATTAATAACAGGATAAACTACTTTTATGTAATAGTGTTTAATTTTTAATTTTAGTAATTCAGCGATTATAAAAAAATGAAATTGTTTATTAGAATAAAAAATAACTAATTAAAAATTTGTTTGCAAACTTTTAAAAGTTGAAATCGTAATTTATTAGAATGTTCACTTCAAAATAGCTAAACAGATCAGTAAAAATCTGTAATTTAATCGTTTTTCAGTTTAAAACATAAAAAATTATAAATAGTTACCCGACGTTTACAGTAAAATACTGGCGCTGACTTGTTGTTGGCACAAGCTTTTTATATTTGTTGTTACGATTTTCCTTGAATGTACTGTACTGCAAGCATATTTTCCCTCTCTCTTCCGTTTTTTTCCGCAACTTCGATACATAGTTTAATAATTAGTTAACTGAAATGACATTGGGTAACAAATATCACTGATTTTGGCAAATTTAGGGCTTAAAAACTGGCAAGATTGATCATGCTTGTAATAAATATTCTGTAGTTATATTTTCGAAAATCAACAGGTAATCCGATAGTTTAACCAATGTTAACTTGCTTATAATTAAAATTTAAAAATTAAAAAGCTGTAAATTTAAAAAAAAATAATTACATTACTAAAAAATTAAAATAAATTTGATTATTTTTTGTGCGAAACAACACCAAAACAATTTTTATAGTTATGTTGCAAAAGAAAGAGATTTGTAGTTACGATTCTCTGCGCTGAACTTCTATATTTTAATAACGTATAATTGTAATTTCGTTTGTTGTTTATTTCTGTATTTATTTTATTTTATAAGTTTTAAGAATCCCAATTTTCGTAATACTATGACTTCATAGGAATACAAGTGTGAGGTTCCGGAATTGTCCGGAACTAAAATAGAAAAACGTAAAATAATTTAATTATTAGAGAAAAAAAGGAATGAACAGAAATTTTTTATAGAAACTTGAGAAATAGTCTAGACCCGTGTTTCTCAACCGCCGGTCCGCAACTCTAATCTGACCAGTCCGCGAAAACTTTAAAAATATATACTTAACCTTCCATGCGTTGTTCTCAAATAGGAAATATGTGGATTATTAATCCGTTTATTGATAGCAAACTAATAGATTGAACGACTTTGAATACGAAAAACTAATCAAATTAAGTTCAGACTTGGGATTTAAAACATTGTTTGAATCAATGCCCATAACACAGTTTTGGATTAAAGTTAAATCTGAATATCCAGTTTTACATAAAAAGGCAGTTAGGATGTTACTACCTTTTTCAACAACGTACTTATGTGAATCAATGTTTTCAGCAATGGTAATGATAAAATTGAAACAACAAAATCATTATAGTATTAGTTCTGCCTCACGCCTTGCAGTTACCGCCTTAACTCCAAGAATTGATGATCTTACTAGCAAAAAAGAAAAGCAGCGATCACATTGATTTGTATACTAATGTACTGGTAAATAAAATAACAAATATTTATTGCTCAATGTAGTTTGCAGTTCTTTTTACAACAGAGAATTTTTTTCAATTAAAAATAATATTGTCACTGGTCCACTTAAAAAAAGCAGATATTTTCCGGTCTGCGATGAGTTTTGGGTTGAGAAACACTGGTCTAGATCATCCTTTCTCAAAGTGGGTGATAACGCCCCTTTGCGGGCACTGGAGGCTTTCATGGGGGCAGTAGAAGGCTCAGTGATTAAATATGAGTTTTATTTCTTCTCATCAAAACATTCTTTGATCTCAGAAATAGGATATGGGTCACACCCTATCTATCCTATCCATATAATAATGCATGTTTAAACATTATATTTGCAATAACTGTTTTTAAGATATGCAACAGATGGTAATGTAAAAAGGTTAAAAAAAAGTTACTCTTTTTGTTGAAAGATTGATTTTAAAATTATGTGTTTCTAAATCAAGAGTTCATTTTAAGCACAGTACAGTACTATTTGTTTATCAAAGAATAATTTTTGTTGATTTTATGTTACCTTGTATTTACTAGATTTACATACAAATAATAATGATAAATGATGATAAAATAAAAAGCTTGTGTTTTGTTTGTAAATTGCTTATTTTTTCATTACATTGAAATTGTGGATTCTATCAAACATTTTTCTACAGGATGTATGTACTGTATTTTTTTAATGTGGCAGTCTTTGAAGCATATCAACTGTGCAAAAAGAGGGCTAAATGTACTCAATGTTAACAGTAAATGCTGTTTTATTATGTCGATATTCCACACTAAAAAATGTGAGGGTCAGGGAATTTGGACAAAGTTGGTCAGGGAAAATCAGGGAAAGTCAGGGAATTCAAAACAAAAATTTGAGTAGGAACCCTGAATGTAGTATCAAGTGGAAGAGGGCCCTAATCCCCAGGCGGCAGCAGCAGCAGCCATTGGTTCCATCTTCTGTCTATGAAACTCTATTGCTTTTGGCCATATTTCACTTGTTAATTGATAGAGGTTAACCCATTCTCCCAAAACTTCTAAACATCTCATTTGACTCATGATTAATTCAACATCATCAGGATTTTGTTCTCTGGTTTGTTAATAAGCATGTAAATCATTTTCCCAATCATGTAATTTTTTTATACCATCATTCTTTAATTTTAAGATCTGCTCTATGATTTTCCATGGCATATTCCAATATTCCTGCTGCAGCTTTTGGTTGTTGTAATCAATTGCATTTATTTGTAAAATAGAAAATAAAGACATTTTGATATAGATTATGTAATTTGAATGTACAATAAGCAACTGGTAACAGGAACAAATATTCAAAAATATCATACATGTAAACCCTGTAAAGGTTTCATTGAGGCTAAAATGATTACTAAAAGTTTTTCAAAGAAATTGATTTCAGGTGTGTATATACTGAGTAGCAACAAATATATTTTGATATATCTACCATAATAATTGTATTAAATATAAGAATGAATTATTCAACAAAATAAAGGAATATTAACTTTACAAACAAAATTTGTTATGACATAATCAGATTTGACAGGTGAATATTCAAATACTCAAAGAAGTTGTTTAAAAATGGAATTATTATATGTAAAACTGTAGCACCTTATTTTACCAACAAAATGAAGTAGCAGAGAACAGAATAGTTAATTACTGATGTTAGAAATTCAACATGCATATTTACAGATGCCAGATTATACAATAAAAACTGGAAAAAAGCAGTGAATAATGCATTTTATTCAGAGACTAGATTATCTGCTAAAGTATATAAAACTATTTCATATGAAAATTGACAAAGAAAAGATGCCATTTTATATAATTTTGATTCTAAAGAACCATACCACATAAAAGAAAGTATAGCTTAAGGTAGAACTGATTTTTAATTGAATATAAAAATTACCCCGGAATTTTACAAAAGAGCATTGAAAGTTTAATGATTAGTTGATGTAGAGACTTTTAAAGTAACTACAAGTAGAGTTGCTTACAAATTCTAGCAAATGATAAGCATAAAGATTCTAAAGTTAATGATTTACAAGGATGTGTGATGATGATGAAAATACAAAACAAGTTAAAATATATGCTAATAGTAAAAGAACAATATACAGTAGAAATTCTAAATAGAAAATGAAAATGTCATACCTTTAAGATCAGAAAGAATACTAAAGGAGAGTCTCTGATAAGAGAATTAAAAATAAATCAGTGATGGAAGATGCGGCAGAACTAAAAGAATATAGTGAGACAATTATTGATAAGCATTCAGAAGACTAGATCAAAGTTATGAAAAAAAAATAACATTCATAAAGTATAAATGGCACATGAATGTTTACAAAATTATCCCTAGATAAAATTGTGGTAGGTAGTAAATGATATAGAAAATTAAAATTAATGAAAATACAGTAGAGCGTCGATTATCCAAAAGTCAATCATCTGAAACGTCAATCATCCTAAAGAATTCCAGTCGGCAAATTTAAATTTTCGCCAGTACTGTGGCGCTGCAATCTTTGGCTATGTCTTGGGCTACTCAAATATTTTACGTTTTTGATACTAAATTAACTTCTGAAGTATAATGTTTTATTGTTTTTATATTTTTCAATATATTTATTTTGTTTGTACAAAATAAAAAAATAATTTTTAACGATACGATAGTCTTCGTTTGGCTTAACATCAACAAAAATTCAACGCGAAGCGACACGCAACAGATAAAAATGTCAAGATGAGATAAATTTATATATTTTTTCATACATAATCGGTTATCTGAAACATTGATCTTCCGAACAACCCCAGTCCTTAATTGATTTGGATAATCGACGCTCTACTGTAATTAAAATTAGCCATTTTAATTTTTGTTAGTTGTTCAAGAATACACACAAATGTATGACTTTGAGTATGATGATACACATGACATATGAAGATTATCATCATCATCCAAAATTTTTTAGTATAAGTGAAATAAAAACATGAAAGTTAATTATATTGATATTGATCTATGTCATCTAAGTGAAGACTTGTTATATGAATTTTAAATAAAATTACCTGAAGATAGAAAGGCTTGTCAAATATGATTTGAAAATTATTAAAGAATATATATGGTTTGAAATAAGGAGTAAATGAATGGAATAAGAAATTTACTGAAAGTTTGTTATTGAAACATTATCTTCTAAATGATTGAAGAAAAACATAATTGATCTCTGTTTTTATATTAGAGACTATAAAATATATTTGCATTTAACAGTTCAAATTGATAATGTAATAAATCTGATATACTTAGATTACAATTTAAATTTATCATTTTAGAAAGAGTACTAATGATAGTAATATTTAATTTTCATACTATATAATAAATAGCATATCATTATTAATTTTTTTGAATTTTTAATTGTAATTTTGAAATGCATATTAAAGATAAAATTGACAAATTGATAAAATAAAAAATAAAAATTAATTTGTAAGATTAAGTCGTTTGAATTTTATGAATTCAAATTAACAAAAGATTTAAGATTACAATTTGGTTCCAACTTTTAAAAGTAGAAAGTAAAAATCATTATTTAACACAAGATGTTTATAATTTATTATTGTTTTCACAGGTCAAGAAGACTGTTGATAAATATAAGCAATGTAATGCAGTGATTTCAAATCATCTACAAAATTTGAGTAAAATTGTTTTATTTGATACAAATAAATCAGTTCAATACACTTGTGAAGAATTTAAGACTTTTCAAGTAAGATTGATTACTTTTCTTATATGATAAATTAATAACTATTAAATAAAATTGGCTCTTTTTCTAATTCCAATTTTGAAAGAATATTAAAAAAAAAAAAAAAAAATATTCCATAAACATAATTTATTATATTTAAATTTACCAGTGTTTTTTTACTATTGATAACTATTGATAATGTTACTATGATAATGTGTGTCAATAGCCAAAAATAATTTAATTGTTTATGGTAAATTATATTTTTATGTTTTACAATTTATTATCTTTTTAATCTTTATATAAATATGAGTACTGTTTAGTTTACTATTAATTTACTATATATCTAAATTTCATATAAATTCTGTTAAATTAAATAGTTTCATTGATTTATATTAACTATAAATCAAACAAAACAAACAAAAAAAAAAAAAAAAAAAATCA